GAAATAAGTTCTTAAACTTATTTTTCTTAAAACATAGAACAGTAAATAAAGAAGTAAAGCAAACAATTATTTCTTCTAGTTATGACATTTATACTCGGTTGCTGCTTGAAGTATGATGCTAAGCCTTTTAAAATTTTGCACATGGAGGATATGAAATGAAATAATTTTTTCAGGTTTTACTTATATATACAGTTGAATAACCAAAAAATCATAAATTACTACATCAATACCACAGAATTCCACTGTAATTTATCAAGCTTAGTAACTAAGATGTGTTTTAGTCTAACAAATATGAAATTTTAAGCAGACTAAAGACACACCCTACTGCATTGAAGTATTGGTTCAAAACAAAGAAATGGCGCCAAGACTGTTAAAATGGCTGAGAAAGCCACTAGCAGGACATTCTGAGTTTCTGATTGGTTATTCATGTCATATATAGAAGTAGGTATATATAAGTAAGCGTTTCCAAAAATGGAAAGAGGTGGGCAAGGTGCCACCGTGTTTGATTTATTACATGAGTAATGGGGCCCAAAATGTCATTCAAAATATCCTAGCTTATACTGATCACTACTTAAATAATGGGTGACCTAATCAGGTATAATTTGTCAGGTTGTCTTTAATGACAAATATTTCACCACTTCATGCATAATGGTTAGGTTTATGACACTCATTATACTACATTTCTGTCATTTAATTTACATTTCTTTCTCTCTCTCTTCTTATTAATCAATTTTAAGCAATAAAAAAAAACTTAAGCTGTTGTAAATAACTTATGAAGTGTTCATGCTAAAGACAGAAATAGGAAAGTTCTGAAATATCCAGGTTTATCAAGAATTTTATGATTTTTAGGTTTCTGACAAATGAGTCTTTAACTAATTTTAAGCAAACAATATAATTCAAAAATAGTGGTGTTTCACAATACAAAACCTGTTACTGATAAGTATTGCCAAAATAGCATATTTCCTATTTTACAAGTCAAAATATCCCTAAAGATCTTTTCCTGTGAAAATGACATAAATGGTACAGCTTGTCTTCAATAAAAACATGGAACTGTTAGACTATTCCAGAACCTCCTGATAAAAACCATCAATTTTTCAGGATTCCCAGTACTGAAAAATTTGTTTAGAAAATTCCATGAATTTCATGACCTAGCAAACCCTGTATTTAGTAGTAAATATATTTTTCATAATGCTCTGAAAAAAATGAGATGTCATTATTTTAAAATACTGGTGTAGGTAAATAACACACATAATATGTGTTAAAACACAAGTTTAGGGCATTTCTGGATTTTGCACAACATCCAAAATAAAAACACAAAACAGAAACTTAAACATCTTTTTCACATTCTTACGCCTGTTGATGGTGATGACTTCTCTTCAACAGATTTACTGAGAACTTTCATCTCTCTTCCGTTGTCACCCTAAAAAAACAGATAAACGAAGGAATTATCAATGCTTTGTTCAAAATGAATAGGAATTGTTAAATTTTGATAATAACAGCAATGTTGGCAAACATCATAAAGTAAGCATATAAATACAATCAACATCTTAGGTATGAGTTATCTGTTAGTATTACCTGTGGAACAGGTAAATTGCAGCTCTGCAGAAATTGTCCAGCAACGGTGAAAAGTATATGTGCATTTAGAAAAACAAAATTCCCGCACAAGCAGCATTCTGTGGAATGCAGTAAATGCAATACATCCAACTAATATAGTAGCAGAGCCTACCCTTGAAATACATTATTTTTTGTCTAAATCCAAGCTACACCTAATTGAAGATACAATCAAGTACTGGTATGTTATTATTAACAGAAGGTCATGAAGTTGCAAGCATAAATGGTCCTCATCACAGTGCATGAAATAGAACTAAAAGAAACTGACTGTATAGCTAATTTTACATTAACAACAATGTCCATTACACAGCTGATAGAAGATGCCCTGATGTTTCTGATCAATCAGGAAGCAAAAATTCTGTGTTTCTGACAAAGTATTCTGATGTGTTTGAAAACCAGATGTCTGCCCTATCATAGCTGAATATGTCACACGTACATATCTTGAAGAGCATTTCATAAAGCAATCACCATGCATGGCATCTTAGCCAGGACTAGGTAGTTCAGAACATAAGGGAAAGTACTTGATTGTACCAATCATGACAGTGAAGAGAAACTGTATACCAATGTCATATCTTAAATAAAAAGATATGAAATCTAATAAACTCTAATGTTGAGTAGTAATTATGAATCAGATATAGTGACAAGATCTGAGGTATTCTCCAAAATAAAGCAAATTTACTTATTTAATTCACATTCTACTGTTATTAGAGTAGTTAAAGAACCTAGTAGTTATAAGTAAATAAGGCATAGTATCAAACATTTATGATTTAAGGGAAATGCATAAACTTATTGTTATTTTTTATATCCTAAACATTATTCCATAAAATGGATCTCTCTGGTTAAACCAAATTTGTCTATTACAGAAACTTAGTGGTATTTATGTAGCTTAAACACAATTCTAAAAAGCATGTTCAATAAAATCTATCTACAACAGAATCTTATTGGTTTTTTATAGTATAAATCCAATTTCATAAAGCAGGTTAGATCAAATCTCTCTAATAGAGTAACTTATTGGTATTTTATACAGCTTAAACCTGATTCCATAAAAAGGCCTGTCTGGTTAGATCAAATCTATCCAGTACAGAAACTTACTGGTACTTTATATATCTAATAACCAATTCAATAAAGCAGGATAGAACAAATCTGTTTAACTCTCTCACTATGGGCTCAGTCCCAGGGACCGACCATTTTGTGCTTGTTATATTTTTCATGCTATAACTTTTAATACAGTAAGCATATCTTCACATAATTTTGCAGATTATCAGTAAACATTACAAAGCTTTGGTACCCAAAATATCAGATTTTTTTATTAAGTTTGAAGATTTTTAAGTAATGATTTGCTCATACATTTTATCTTTTTGAATGTTGACTCTCCAACATGCAAAGTAATTTTAAGATTAAAAATACTTTTAAGCAGCTGAAAATTTTCAAATTTCACAAGCCAAATCTTTATAACCTCCACATAAAACTTTAGAAAAACTTTATTTTTTATCTCTTATTTTCACTATTGTATCTCTGTAGGGGTTTGATCGATTTAACCGGCCTTGTATCCACCATAAAAAATTAAAAAAATAGATAAAATTATGCTTTTTTTGTTCTAGAGGGACTACAGATTATAACACCAAACCAAAATTCTTTAGTCTAAATATCTTAAATCTCATGACATAATACATTTATATATATTTATCATTTTTACTTTATTGACCTTTCAGCCATGCCTGACTAACATTACAGAAGTTGCAATAAAGCGGTACACATGCACTCATGTTACGGTATCCAAGAATGTGAAATGGCCTTTCCAAAGAGTTGTGTTCTAGTGGACCAGTATTTCATAAAATACAGTCACATTTCAGTTATAATACATTATATAAGTATATACATTATTACTATTTACAAATAAGTTATTAAATTTCAGTGGTTTTTCTTAAAACGTAGAACAGTAAATATAGAAGTATAAAAAAACAATTATCTCTTCTAGTTAAGAAATTTGTATTCCTTTGCAGCTTGCCATAAGTTGATAAGCCTTATCAAATTTTGCACTCAGAGGATGTAAAACAAAATAATTTCAAAATGCATATATAAATAACAAAAATCATAAATTACTATATCAATACCACAGAGTTCCACCATAATTTATCAGGCTTAGTAACTAAGCTGTATTTGGATCTAAAAAATATGATTTTTCGAGCTCACTAATGTCCTACCTTACCATTTGGAATCTACCATGAAAAGAAAGGATTTCCCACATAAATACTTTGCAGAGGTTGAGAAAATCACTAGGAAGGACATTCTGAGCTTTTTCTTGGTTATACACAAGTCATTGGGCGAGGTAGGTGTATGTAAGCAAGTATTTTCATAAATGGAAGAGGTGGGCGGGGCAACCTTGGTTGATTCACTAAATATATTAATATCTCAGAAATTAGAAAAGACAGGAGGTTCTTATCTTATGTTCTACTTGTTGATATCAGTAATTTGAGTATATAATTCGTAAAAAACTACAGGCTTTGTATTTAGACATCACAAACATCTAATTTGAACAAATGCTGCATTCAACATACCACGTGACACACAAAAATCAATATTTCATATTTTTTTTAATATTTACTTTTAAATTATGAAAGTAACTTATGTATAATACTAAAATTTGAATTATAATCTACAATTTGATACCAAAGCTATTGACATGCATTCATAAAATAGTAGTTAAATAAAATTTTGAATGTGAGTCTACAAATGAGATGACATGGCCTATGACTTGTGACCATAGGAAGACCTGTCTCAGTAAGGTTAATACAGAAACTTACTGTAATTATATATAGCTGGAACCCGACTCCATAAAGCAAGTTAGATCAAATCTGTCTAGTACATAAATTCACTGGTATTTTATACAGCTTAAACCCAATCCTATAAAGCAGGTTGGACTAAGACTGTTTAATACAAACATTTTGTGGTATTTTATATAGCTTAAACCTGATTCCATAAGGTAGGCCTGACTGTTTAGGCCAAATCTGTCTAAACCATAAGCCTATTGGTATTTTATATAGCTTAATCCCAGTTTGATAAAGCAGGTTATATCAAATCTCTCCAATACATAAACTCCTTGGTATTCTATACAGCTTAAACCTGATTCTATAAAGCAGGTTAGATCAGATCTGTCTAATAAAGCAGCTCATGTATGTCTTTTAAAACGTTTTTGGTATATTTTTTAAGATGTGTACACCATATATACATTTTTCACTTCCCTTTTCAACACCAAAATCTTTGACAATTAATGGTTACAAAAATACCTTTAGATGCAGTTTTATGACCAAGTAAATGTTGCTTGTAGAAATTCTCTAATGACTATTGTTTAAAAGAAAAAAAATTAACATTGACTAAGAAAAAATGACATAACACTTCAAGTTGTTGAAGAACTTCAACAAATAAAAAAAATTAAATATTACTGTAGAGTGTCAACAAGAATCAAAGCATAAAACATAATGAACATGTTAGTTGTAAATTAAGCATATCATAAACACAACACACTGATCTGTTTACCAAATGAAAAAGACATGTACAAGAAAAAACTACAGTTTTTATTTATTTGTTATTTCATAATTTAGTTGACTTGTCACTTTGTTTGTAGTTATGCACAAAGCTACACAATGGGTTATCTGTGCTCTGCCCACCATGGGTATTGAAACCCGGTTTCTAGCGTTGTAAGTCCGCAGACATACCGCTGTGCCACTGGGGGACCACTTTGTTTAATGAAATAAAATTTTTCTTTCATTATTTCTGTATGTTCAAAGTGTTTGTTATTTAGGTATGGGTTATACAATTTGTTAATAATATTGAAAAGAAATAATGAAAATTTCAACATTGCCATAACTAGTCATTCCAACTATTCTGCTTTTTTATAGAATACGTCTTTTTCAAACTTCATTTGAAGTAAACAATATAGAGGTTATTTTTCACTTTCTAATTACAAAGCTCAGTTTCATTACAGTGTGAAAATATTTTCTTTATAAATTACACTAAATAAATGATGCAAAATTACAGGATATCAACTCTAAATTATTTTTGAGTTAAAAATTACTCTATACAACACCATACACTATCATATATTATTTTCAGAATATTAGCAATTTTGTAAATACAAATTTTAAATATCAATCAATTTAAAAAGAAGCCCCAAATGTCAAATGTAACGTTTTAGCATTTTTAATAATTTTCAAATATCTATACAGTAAGGTATCAAGATTCTTAACAAAAAAGACAAAGATATATGAAACTTTATATTATATTAAATATGTTAATTTCTATATTTACTTAGTGTAAAAATTCCTTAGATACATGATGTATTACAAGATCAGTTCAAGAAATATATCATAAAATTAAGCAAAAAGCATAAGGAATAATAAATTCTCAACTAACATTCAAAGCACTCATGACAAAAAGCAGCAAAAATAATAACTATTACTTTTAAGTCATAATAAAAAATGTTAAATGTTATTGTATGAAAAAAAAACACCATGTCTTTCAATGATTAACATTTTTTTCAAATAGTAATGAATATACAACTTTAATTGTTTTGATAATGCATTAAACAATTCTCAGAATTAATGAAAAAACTTAAAATATTTTATTTCATACCTGAACATCAAATAAATATACATAATCAGAAGAATAGCTAACAAGCATTTCCTGACCATCTGGGCTATATGATAAAGAAGTGATGCGATGACTGCGACCTCCAAACTCTGGAACAGTAAACCGGGATATAACAGCTTGTATACCTTCACCAGTGAAACTACCTGTGAAAAGTCAGATCAGAAACAAGATCTATATTCATACTAGAGCATTAAATCTAATTGAAATTCTATACTGCAGGAATTGCAAAAGCTCTCTACATGTTAGAGTAAGATTATGCAAGCTGAGATATAAGAGCTTATTTTACAGTTAAAAAATCCCATTGTATTAGTATTAGGCCTATTTTATTTTTAAACGCTACATTATTCCAATCACACTATATATTCATCATATCCACTATCGATGATGATATATGACAAATACAGTTACAATATGATGAATATAGCATGGTCAGAACACTAATAACCAATGTTCTGATCATGCTATGTTCATCATATATACATTTTCTTAACTATTGAAAATCCCTATGGCACTAGATAAAGAATGTATTGCTTAAAAATGTAACAGGCCTAATACAATATGTCTTATGACAAGTAAATCCTTAGTCCTGAGTGAGACTTTGTTGTCATATCACATGGCAACAAGAGTTAACTGAGTTTTGATTTAATTTATATTTCTTAAATTAGTTTATTTGTATTATCTAGTTTTAGTTAGCATTATTAGAGAATGTTGCACACACAGAAAACTATATACTGCCAGTGAGAGAAAGCTTCCATAAATGAAAGGGACAGCTGCAAATGTAGAAAACTAACACAAAACAGTAAGCCTTGGTCAAATTTAATTTCTTGAATTCTATGAAACTTAATTTTGAAACAAAACATTTATTCTTTTTCTTACAAAAAAATAGCAATTTTTGGCTGAATCCATACGTCAAAATTAGATGTTGTTATGTTAGCAAAATAATAATAATAACATAATTTTGCAATGAGTTATACTCATGGGAACCATACTGAAAAGAATAAAGTTATATAAAGAGACAAGAAGCATTATTTTTTGCAATGATTAAATAGTAACGTTATCAATAATGCAAAATATTCTGTAATCTTATACTTCGATTCTGCATGTTTGACACCTTGACCACAGAATAGTATTTTTGTCACACAAATCATGATCTTGATTGACTTGATACATGTAGACAATCACATTTTAAATGAAGTATTTAAATCAATTTTTGTGTCATTATTAGTGACAAATTACCACTAAAAATTCTTTAGCACAAAAGATATGTTGAACTTTACACTCCTTAAATATATCTTTGTCCAATATTCTACTACATATGAAAAGTTCATTATTGTGCACACTTTCAGTGAATCATGCATGATTAAAAAACAAACTGCTTTAACTATTCTAAACCATGTTTTCACCAAAAAGTAAAATGACATCAGTTGCTTCTAAGAACATAAACAGAGTGAATTATACATGATTAAAAAACAAATTGCTTTAACTACTCTAAATTGTGCTCTCACTAAAAGTAAAATGACATCAGTTGCTTCTAAGAACAGAAACAGAGTGAATTTTACATGATTAAAAAACAAACTGCATAAATTACTCTAAATTGTGCTCTCACTAAACGTAAAATGACATCAGTTGCTTCTAAGAACAGAAACAGAGTGAATTATACATGATTAAAAAACAAACTGCATAAACTACTCTAAATTGTGCTCTCACTAAAAGTAAAATGACATCAGTTGCTTCTAAGAACAGAAACAGACAACTTATTTTTTGTTCTTTTGTCTGACTTTCACATGCAATTAATTTTGAAATCTAGTTCTATTCTTAATTGGTGTATGTTTTATTAAACACCAAACTGTTTTTTAAATTATAATATTGCATAAACATGTAAATGTTTTTTAGATACCATTAATGGTAGAGGATGTAATATAAAAAACTTATTTATTGGGATATAATAATAATGAGAATGAACTGTTTAAATCACATCTATACAAATTCTGCAAATAAGTCTTAATTATGTGAAACCATCTTACTACTCTTAAAAAATTAAAACAAGCAAACATGGTTTATGATGTGAACAACTTAGTTACTTGAAAAAACTTTTACAGTCACATGTATTTATAAATATTTTAATCACTCAGGAATGATGTACAAATATGATTAGTGAGAAATTCAAATAATGCAAGATAAAATATAACTAAGGTGAGAGAACCATTAATGAACAATTTAGAAATATGTTTACGTTTTGTAGATTCCATTCTTGTCATTGTCTTACATCAAATACATCAAAATCCCATTTGAAATGCAACTACACATTTTTCCAATTAAACAAAATGGGTAAAGAGTATTACTTGCACAAGTGTACCACAAAAAATAATATTTGATCTTTACAAGCAATGTCTGCCATTTTAAGGTGTTAATTACATTTCTTCTCTATTAAACATTGGTGATATGAAAAATACTAATGAAAACTTAATTCTAGTCTGAAGATTAATGGGTCTGTTTAAAGTTTAGGTTTTCAAAAGGTGAATTCAAACATTGTCACTATTACTTTTGGAAAACATTAGCACCTGAAACACAATATGTCTACTAGATTGTAACATATACACATACATATGTGTATTTAAATGAACAAAAACAAGCCCCCCCCCCCCCAAAAAAAAAGTGCCCTGGACTTTGGAGGTGACTGTGGAAGAAGGACCCACATTGTGGAGGGGATACACCATCTATCAGTCTTAACCTCCCTTCAACAGGCTCATAAAAATCAAATAATATCATTAAAAAAATACAGGTTAGGAGAGCGAGATGGTGCTCAAGCCCACAACATCCCACATCTATATCACCTTTTACTGCCTGCAGACAGTTGTGGGAAGGTGACTGCTCTTCAAAGTAAAAGAAGAGAAAAGGAAGAGAAAAGGAAGAAAAAAAAAAGAAAAACGAAATAAGGTACTACCACTTGTGGGTAAGTAAAATAAACTTACCTCCTGAGGTTGGCATTCCAGCCCAATTTTAGTAGTAAAGCACCAATTTAACTTAATTAGTAGTACAGTACATAAATTATTTTGGTGTAATTATATGAACACATCTTATGGTGTGTGGTGTGGAAGTAGTGTACTTTCGTACCCATATTACCTAATAACACAAACCACGGTGGAAGATTCAGAACACTGACAGCTCAGAAACCTTTTCAGGTTTTTACCATTTTTGGTTCCTCCATTTCAGATGAATTTTATATTTGTCTAGTTTTGTGTTTTAAGATAAAGAAAATACATGCTTCCATACATCTCCTTTGCCCAATAATGTGTGTATAACCAATCAAAAGCTCAGAATGTCCCCTTAATGGTTTTCTCAGACTTTGCAAAGTATTTACATGGGAAACCCTATCTATTCATGGTAGATTCCAAGCATTAAGGTAAGGCATTAGCGAGCTCAAAAAATCACTTTTTTTAGACCCAAATACAGCTTTGTTACTAAGCTGGATATATTATAGTGAAAGTTATAATTTTCCTATGTGCAAAAATGTATTTCTGATAGGTACTTCCCTCCACTCACAAGATTAGCTTTTCTCATTTGGTGCTGCCCTCTACATGCCAACTTTTTCAAAATGCATGCCACAAGCCTTCCACATCCCTCTGTTGGAATCCAAAGTTTCAACATGACTCTCATGCAAATCATCCTGCATCAACTCTCCACCAATAAGAAAGCACTACTATCATGTGACTCCCTCTATGTGCTACTAACAAACTATTACTTCAAAGTTTGGCAGAAGACACAAGCACTGGAAGATTGTGGGGAGGAAGGGTGGAAAGTGTAAGTGGAGGGAAGTGCCTATCAAATATAAATTTTCATATAGGAAAATTATACCTTCCGATATGGTACCTTCCGTCCACTCACAAGATTAGTTTGAATCCCACATTGAAAAGGAGGAGGGACCGGTGCGAGATAAGAACAGGCATATCCCCCCGAAAGCATCCAAAGGACACCCCTGGGAATAAGAGAAACAGATCAGATGATCTGAGAAGGGGCACCGCACCACTTCTGAACCAAGTATCTTTTCGCCATGGACAGGTGGAATCAAAACATGGCAGAATATGAAGGGAGCACATCCTTATGGAAGAGTATAGGTCAGTAACATGATCCCAATCAATAAAACAGATACACTCAATCCCACGTAATGAAAGTGGGTAATGGAGGATGTGTTCCATGGTGTAGAGTGGCTAGAGCACATTGGACCATACTCTGTAGAGCAATTACATCCAAAACTTTACTCGATGGGTACTGACATACACGCGAGGGTAGGATGAGGATCATACCATCTTCACCTCAAGGTCTAGAATCATGAATGTCACAGGATGAGCATTGAGTTAGGGACCCAGGAATGTGTCATCCAGTATCTGAGGGAAGTCCATAAAAAACAATCAACCCCCGTGACCTTGAAACCTGTCTGAATGTTCACAGGTTTGTAACATCCTCGTCATTCTGAGAATGAAGGAATGCCCAAAACAGAAGTGGAAATTGGCCATGTAGAACCTCTTGCAACCCACAACACAGAAGACAGATCAAGGGGGGAAGATGGATGACCTGAAAACTTATGTGATTGGTTCACTCGATCCCCTAAACCTCACTCGATGGGAGCTGACATCCACACGAGGGTAGGAGGAAGGCACCCAATTGGAGAGGTGAACTGCATTTAGGCATCTTACTCTGAACATATGTCTCTCATCCAGAAGATTTTGTAACTCATTCTGGACTGGTAGATCACCACTGCCCTACTCTAAACTGAATGGTTATAGCCATCTTTGTGGAACCCATTTGGCAGGTTACCTCCATGATCAACCACCCCAGCAGCTTGGTGAGTGGTAAGGACTCCCGTACTCCACTGGAAGAAAGGGGGAAGAAGTGCATTGGAGAGTCTGGAAGGACTGCTACACCTGAGATAGTGCAATGGGTGATCATGAAACCCTATTTTGAAAAGCAGAACATACCGACTTATTCAGTCCAGGCATGGCAGAGATGAGTAGCAATCCCCTTCTGCTTTATCCATGCCGTCCTTGAATGGTATGGTCCGGAGTGGGCATTTTTATGAAGCAAACCATCATGAGGTTATTCCCACTTTAGTGATCTTGTGAAACACCCCATCTCAAGGGTTAGCATGCACAGCTATGGACAAAGTGCATGAATTAACATGGCATACAGTGCATATTTGTGTTTTTGTTTGCTTGAGTATAAATATATCTGAGAATGGTTATAGTCATCTAAGTGGAACCCATTCAGTGTTCTGAAAGATACCTGGTCAGCCACCACTCACTACAGAGCGGGATCCAAAGTGAAGTTGAAGCAAGGGCCCCTGAAAGAAAAGAAAGCATAAGGAAGAACTTACCTCATGTCAAAGCCTTGCTAAAGTCTACAGAATAGCCACAGGTGGCAGGAGATACCCCGAGGAAACAGAAATCATGATGTGGTATAAGTAGTGGGAGATAAACGTGTGCGGAGTCATCCACATGTCCTATTGTAGAATTAACTCCAATGGCCAATGAAGACAAGAAGCAAAGGTGAAGGTAGGGTATCAGATCTGATGGGAAGATACAGGAAAGAGATCATGCTGGGAGGGGGACAAGAAAAAATAAATCAACTGGATCAAACGACAAACCCACTTGGTCAGGGTAACAGGGAAAAGATCATAGGAAGAGAAGGTTTACCTTGGGATAAAGAGGCAGGAATGAGAACCCTAGAAGAAAGCTGTGAATGTAATATAACAACAGAGGGCACATACTGGGCAGAGGAGTCTTTCTAGATCAGGACAAGGGTAGAGATGAGAAATAGAGGGATGGGAGGGATCACCTAGAGCAGAAGCAACCGAGGAAACAATGGTTGAGCAAGCCAGTAAGGAGCAATCAGAAGAACTCTGCACGAAGTGGCATGGATGAGGGAGACTACCCAATGAAGTAATCAGATAGGAGGATATATAGAAAGAAACAGGTGGGCCCAATCCTGGCTGAAGGCATCTATTGCCAAAGCCATAGGATGGGGAACCAAGGTCCAAAACTGGGGTAATTTGTGATTGAGGGCAGTGGCAAATCCATCAATATGGGGAGTACCTAAACAATGACAGCACCAAAGAAAAACAGCAGAATGTAGGGAACACTCCATGGGATAATCCTGATCTGGTTGGGGTAGATGATCTGCCACCAGATGGAATGCACCCGGAATATGATATGCCATGAAACGAATGTGATGGAAGTGGGCCTAATAGAGAAGATGTAACATGTGAAAACATAGGGATCTCAACCGGGGGCCACCTTGGTGATTGATATAAGCCACCACTGTAGAATTGTTGAAATGGATTATAACCAGATGACCTCTGGTGATAGAGAGAAAATGATCTAGTGCCTGACAGACAGCAAGGAGTTCCAGGACACTGATGTAAAGAGAACATTCTTCCGCAGACCAACAACCGAAACCTCTTGGTGATCGACCCATGCACCCCAGCCATGAACAAATGTAACTCTGGCAATGGAGGAGGAAGAAGCTGGACACCCACTGATGTATGGGCCTTATCCAACCACCAATATAGATGAAATAGGAGGGAAGGTGAATGGAAGCATCGTGGGGATCCTGTGTGAGGTTCCACTGGTCATGATGGGCCCACTGAAACAAACACATATGAGCCCTGCCAAGGGATATGATAGGTGTCAAAGATTACCACCTCCCCATAAACAATAGAACCTTATCAGCAGTTAGTAAGGGAGCAGACAGAGCTGTCCAAATGGCCAGTTCCATAGAATGGAGCTGGAGAGGAGAAGGTTGGGCCCGACCGAGATGGTTGAAGAAAACACAAAGATGTACAAGGTAACAGATAGGAAGAAGGAAGGACCCCTCAAATGTGATCAACCATCCCACCAGCAGAGCGTCGAGGAAGAACTGAGGAGTAGGACTGGTCAATTCCCATTTGGATTGGGCAAGAAGAAGCCAGTCGTCCATGTAAGCGTGGAAGCATAGCCCCAGGGTATGAATATGCCAAGCAAGGGGGCAAACCACTCAACAAAACATACTACATGGATGACAGACCAAAGGACAGGGCTTTAAAAAGGTATACTACCCCACAACAGGCAAACTGGCGGAGTAAAACCCGTGTGGAGCAAGTACAACAACCTGTTGGGTGTAGAGGTCGAGTACTGCCTTGGAAGACACTGGCATGACCATGGATCCCAAGGAGAAACAGGAGAGAGAGAGAATAGAACACCATGAACCTGAACTTTGGAGAGGAAAGGGCTGCTCTGATGAAAAAAATTCGCCAAACCAGCTACCCCCAGTCCAGAACTCACCAGGCAGTCATTGGAACCATTGCCTGCATACCGTGAAAAACGGTGAACTGCAGTACCGTGGAAAGCTGGGACAGGCAGGACTGTGAAGGGTAGGGTCAGGAAACAGGACTCGGAGCCACAACTGGCTCTGACAGAGACCAACAGGCACCTGATGTTAAAGGTGGATCACTGTTGGACAGAAGCTACCAATGACTCCAAGGACACAGTAATCTTGTCATACTCGAAACATCGCAAAAACGGGACCATAACAAAGTCCCTTATGTACAGAGCCAGGTGATGGGTCCACAAAAATATAGCATCTACATAGAGTTTTCTATATAGAGAACATAGACAAGAGAAATGTCTATATGACATAAAAACACGGGTGATGTAACAAGGGTAGGGTAGGAACACACACGTTGAACTGCTCATAGCTCCAAACAATTGAGGTGAAAGTGAGAGTGTTTTTGGAGGACACCTGAAACCTGAAAAATAATGTTCCAATTATATAGAACCACAACTCTCAAGAAAGATATCTATGAAAATGCACAGATCTTGATGAGGTGAAAGCAAAGAAGGAACTTACATTGGCAAATTCTCAATTGAGCCAAACATGAAAGTAATCAAGAGTATCATAAGAAGTGGAATATCTCTGAGACAATAGGTCTGAAGTGAAGAGGGATGTCATTGACAGGCAAGATCTTACTGCAGAGGTCTCATATAAGCATCACTCAAAACTGAGAGAACATCTTTGTCAGAGGAGAGAAGTAGGCATACCTGAGAATTTAGGAATTGTGGAATTGCAAAGACAAAGGAAGCTCATGAAGAGTTCCTTGGAAAGTGTTTATCCCAAATCCTGGTTACACCAGATGCTGAGTAGATACAATCTGAGACTGGAACTTGTGAACAAACCATCCCAGAAAGGAGACTAACTGGGTGATTGTGTGCAAGTCAATGACTGAGTGAGAATAAAACAATTGTCCATTATATAATCATGAAAGATTGATACTGAGACAGTGTAGAGCACCAACAAACACTCTGTGAAGATAAAAAGCACTTATGCCAGACCAAAAATGTTTGTCATAAACTGATAAACCACTCTCCAATGGTAGAAGATTTAGAAACTTTCAGGAACAGGTAAATCAGACATGTAAATAAGCATCTTTGATATCCGTTCCTATTATACAAAAACCCTGACAAAGAATTTTCAATAAGATTTTCATTGTTTCCATCTTGAAATGAGAAATGTCCAAATAACTACTGAGGTTAAATATACTTTTTACCAGTCTCCAATCTCCTGGTTTCTTTGGCACTATGAAAAGGGGAAATATGAAATACTGTTTCAATTGTCCCTTTCTGTAAAAGGTTTGAAACTTCCTGATCCAAAAGTTGAATACAATCTGGATTAGGTGGATGAAGAAAAGAAACTGGAAAAAGTAAAAAATGTAGAAGGAGGATGAAACTGGATAGAAAATCCAAACTGAACAATCTGATGAATCCAAGGACCATGAAGCCATATGAGAAAATTATCTAAAATAACCCATCAAAAGACTAGGCATCGACTGAGAAGTAGATGATCAAGGTAACACAAAAGGATAAACATTACTTGCCGATCATGTAGAACACAGGAATAACAATCAGAAGAAAATGAGATGCTAAAACCCTACTCAACTCCTGCTGCCATACTTCTCCTGAATGGGAAAAAAGCAAAGTACATTTACATGTATACATGTGCAAATACAACTGTGGAACAGTATTAAAAAAACAGCTGAAAGCCAATTTCTCTAAATTTTCTTGTGTATCACATAATATTCTTGCAGTTTTTTTACACATCTAAAACCACCACATAGTAGAGAAATATGTAAACAGTTCAAAACTCATATATATATATGCCCACACACACAGAGTCTGGACAATTAGTAAAATACATTGTACCTTACCTGTAGCTCTGGTGCCTAACATTCTTCTGTCAAAGATTCTGGCTGTACCATCAGAGCAACCAACACCTAAGTAATAAGGTGTTAATGGACTGACTGCTAAAGAGGTCACAGAACACCGGCAGTTGATCAGAATATCCTGAAGGGAACACAGGAAGCTTAAGCAACTAATTACTATTCAATAAAATATGATTCATCATTTATCAGTACTAATTAAACAATGACTTTGGCACAAAGAAAACATTATTTGCACAAAACCAAACACATAAACTTTGTTAATTCACAGATAGATACAGTGAAACTATCTTCTTCAAAGTACAAGATGAAAATATCCAGGTAAAGGATACATTTTGAATTAAGGTAGAGTAAACATCTTCTTCTTATAAGGTTTAAATCTTATCAGTAGCTATTTTTATAGTCTACAAATACACTTATCACAACTGTAACAAATTTAATATGTCTAGAGAACTAAATAATATATGCAAGATATCCCAACTGGAGAATAAGTCATCTAACCACATTAATAACTTAGAATGTAGAATGCATAAACTACTTTGAAATAGCACTGTCTCACTGGATGCATGATTTTGGTCATATCTTTGTGTACTTGCCATAGAATACTTTGCAACTACATTTATTTTATTGTCTGTGGATGTAGCTAAGTGAATTCACATCTGGGTTAGAAGATACTTGGTCACAGTAAGTCACTGAAGCAACTCCAAAACATCTACTTCCAATGATTATCCTATTGAATATAGCTAAATATAGGAGTTTAATAGGCTGATAAAGCAATTATTATCGTTATAAATTTTATCTTCAGTAAGTATTGGTCATGTTACAAGCATGGATTATTAACTTAGTTAAATAATTCTTGGGCAGACAGTAATAAAAAATTTCCCAAAATCTTCAAAAACTACAATTATGTCTTTCATTACTCTATAAGATTATTATTTTTTTATCTGTGAAGTTCATTGGCAGCAAAATTGTGCAATATGAAGCACACTTAAATCCACTGGCTGAAAAGAAGTTTTATTTATTTTTTATCCTAGAATAGTTAGACTTTCCTGTTACTGAAATATTTATCCATTTTTTTAATCTTACTTCTATTTTAAATATTGTTTTAGACTATTAAATACTTGGAAATGAATTTTTACAGTTCTAGCATTAAAGTGAATGTCAATCAGTTACTTACCTCTAAAGTACTGTAAGCCTGTTGTTGTTGAGTCATTATTCTTCTGTCAAAAACAGTGAGAGTTTTGGTTCTGAGTGTCCTTGATGCAATGCATTCCATGCATCACCTTACCCAAAGTTTCCACTCTTCCATGTGACTTATTGTGCAATTACCAGGGGAACTAAATAATCCATGTTTCTGTGCCATAAGCCAGATTCATTTGTTTGCAGTTCTGATGACATAATATATTCATTTGTTTGCAGTTCTGATGACATAATATGTTCTTTTCAGTTGTGTGGAAATGGGTGGTAACATGTTTCAGATCTGCAAACCTATTTGAAAATTCACTTTAATTCTAAAAATTAAAATCAATTTGACTTACCTTTGGAATATTGTAAACCAGAATACCCAAAATGAGATTTAGGATGATTAACAGTGTGTCATAATAAAAGACAACTGGTAAGTCCAGACCACAAAAACCTTGAGTGTTGTAATCAGCAGAATCCAAAACCAGAGTGATAGGTAATGGATTGGGTTTGCCTGGAAGAATTTAGTAGAAAAAACCAACCTCTAAGAAGATTGTACCAAAAAATGCTGACACTCAGAGGGTAAAATATTCATCTTCACAGAGCAGCCTTCAGGTCTACATTCCTATGTTTCAAAATATAAAGGGGGAGATGGCCGGCATGGATATTCAAGGGTTTTCATACAAATTATTAGGTGTGGTCCCAGGTGGTGTCTAGATAGGTAACCATGGTTGTCATGATATAAAAGACTGTTTAGTTTAGATATTATTGATTAATTTATTTTCTAGTGAATATTTTATTACTGTTGAGTTTTTGTAGGAAGTTATGTTTTTAATTCATTGATCTTGAGACTATCAAACATCACGTGCAATACACTGACATCGAGAATACAGAGATTTCAAGAAGGCTGGCAGCCGATTAAGTGATAGAGGTATAAATAGTGTGAGACGAGTGGAAATAGCAGACAGACAATAGCAGAAGAGAATAAAACAAATGTTCAACATGAAGTTTACTACCGCAGAAGTGACAGGCCTAATGATTAACATAGGTCTAATGTCTAATATGTTAGAGTAGGACTAACAGTAGAAAAGGAGATAAGAAGAAAAATTATTCCATCAAAGCGTGATTCTAAAGTAATTGACTCAGCCTGAGTGCACTTTGACAAAAGGGGCAGAGAATATTTAGAAGAAAGAAGACTAAATGATTACGGTAACTCTTGCCACAATTGTAAGTGCATCATACACAGAATACTAGTGCGATAGTAAAAGAGGAGATAGTTTGGCTTGTCAACTGAAATTCTAAAGCATTTGAATAGGCCTAAGTGACCTTTTGACAAGAAGAAGAGAACTATATATAAGTAGTGTTTATGATATTCCTGTAATCTATATAGTGTGAAAACTTTGTTGTACATACGTTTAACTTGTTCAAAATATATATATATATTATTTTGAAAACAAGTGAAGTGCATGCTGTTCATTTATCATTGAATTTATCGCTAACAAGTCACAGACACCTTCTGCAGGAGAATCCTAAGCCCAACAACAACACAGTTTATATTTATACTATTAAGAAGTACAAGTAAAAGCCTTTTTTATTTTGACAATTGGCAAAATAATTTATCTCTGAAATACTGACAATGGTCAGAGTACAAAGTTTTGTCCTGTGCCTGTTAGCATAAGACTGTCAGAGAAAAATTCAGAAATTAACCCTCTTGCTACAGGCATCCTCTTCTGCACCTCAGAAGGATTTACGGACTTACAATGAAAATTTAATTGAACTACTTTCTCATCATGGTATACAAATAAATTTGGAATGAAAACGTAACTAATAATACAAAAGTTAATACTATACAAGTTTTAAGTTATTAATTTTATAATGCAATATTTTAAAAAACCCTGAATTTCCCCTAGTATGAGAACTTTGACATTGTCTCTCTAGATATCCCCTCTTCTCTAATTTATTTACCAGCTCTCCCAAAAGTATGAAATTTAACTTAAATTACTTATTACGATGTTGTCATCACTTAAGCAAAGCATAGTTTTATAGCTTTCATTCTTATTTGGTTACAGAGCCAAAAAATAAAATCAGACCATTCTTGCCATGCCCACCTGTCACATCCTCTCTTTCAGAAATTGCCAATAGTTCTCTCTGACATTTAATAGTATATTATTTATAACCAAACAGAAAGCCAAGGTTATACTCTATCAAATGATGTAATATATTACATTGTTTTCCATACACAGAATTGTCTATTTTACTTCCAGTTCAAACTTTATTCCCATAGGAAACACATTGATGGGCTTAGCTGAATTTTTAACAGCTCTTGTTGCACAGTTAGCAAGCCAGAAAAATTGTAATACTTATAGGACACTGTCTACTTGTCAAGTGTTATTATTCTGTGTTCTTTGGTGTATTATTTAATGAAATAAAAAATTATTAATGCAGGTGTACTATTAGTATAAAAACATAGGGTTAAGTTTCATCCACAATAGACAGCCAAAAAAAAAGACGACGACCCACGTAAGTACTTTATTTCTTGTTTTACATATGTGTTCTTTATTTATTATTATAAAAGTAACTAAAATGTAAGATTAACAAATTTTTTAGGTTACATAAGATAAAATATATAATAATAATAATATTAAACTTTTTTCACTAGATACGTGAATAGCTCATGCATTATGTAATTCAATAGGGTAATGTAAGCTACATATTCACTCAGTGATTTACAACTCAAACGGTGCAAATATTAGTAACACACAGTTCAAAGGGCAGTAAAACAATAACATTTAAGTATAAACAGATATACTGTTATAAGGTTAAAACTATTTAGGACAAACAAATGTAGTTTCATAATACAATTTGAATTCATTCTAGAAAGAAAAAGGGAGTCATTTAAATTTATTTTGAATTTTGTTTTGATGGTTACGAGGTTGATCAAATTGACCAACCTCATATAGTTAGGGTAGAGAAAATAATAGGTAAAATATAAAGTTTACTGAAAAAACATTTGAAATTTATTTAAGAGGTTTTAGAGATAACACAAATGAAATCCGAGACTTTTCAGATGAAGAAAAGTATTTTTAATCTTAACATGAAAACCACTTTGCACTTGGAGCATTCAACAGTTTTATTTCATATATTCTTGGAGAAATATTTAGTGAAAATACTTTTGTCTTCAAATGACTCTTTAATGCTTATTGAAAGCTTGCAAAATTTTGTGAAGATACATTAAACATATTAAAAGTTATAGTATGAAAACTCTAATGGTCAATTTGGGATCAACATAAGGTATAAACTGTTCTGAGATCTTTTGGATGATTGGGTGCAAGTGAGATAACAACAAACAGCCCTCACATGTCATAAAAGGCAATCATCTGAACAACATTCTGGGTCAGTTAGATTAGGTAACACAATAGGTGAAAAATGGTGGTTACATTCACTTAAAGCCCACATCTTATGTAGGAAGACTCCATTTGGATGCAAGTATAGAACTTTTCAAGAAAAGAAGGTATGTGATCTATCATGAACATAGATATCTGAATGTCTTCTGTCCTATGCAAGCAAAACTATAAAATATGTCTTGAGAGAAAAATGATAAAGTGAACATGTCACTAATTTTACAAAATGAGAAAAGTTAAGAAATTAAAAACTAAGCCCTAGTTCAACTTTAAATAATGTTTATAACTCAGTAACATTGTAGACAAAAACTAAGAACAAATCTGCATACAACGAGGATAAAAGATAGTGATGACTCCCATGGCACCAAAAGCTGGCAAATAAGGCAACTGACATTCCACTATCATGCGAAAAAAAAAAAAAATGAACAGGAAGCAATTTGTTAAGAAGATAGAGATAAACAAGATATAGAATGTTGAATGTGCCACCTCTGAAAGATAGCCCAATGAAACTGATAGAAAGAAAGGGACAAACATCCACAAG